TTTTTTTTTTTTTTTACTCAGTTGGTCTTGAACCATTTGTCTATCATTTTAACCACTGTACAGATAGTACTTGCTTAACAATGGTAATTGGGACTGGAATTTCTATCACTAAGTGATGGGGTTGTAAAGCGCGATGTCACCGCAGTTCCCATTGCTGTTGATAAGCAAGGGTCTCAGGTCATTAAGTGAGGATCTCCTCGCAACTTCCTGCCGGCTTTCAACAAGCAAAGTGGGGAAGCTGGCAGGAAGTTGCTAGTCCTGGGCAGCTCACAAGCAGGCCAGCAGCGGGTAAGTGGCTGCTACAGTGCTGGGTGAACATGGTGGGGCTGGGGGTGGCTGCTGCCAGGTGTAGGAGGGTGCATTGGTGGCTGCCACAGCACTGCATGACTATGGCCAAGGTGGCTACTGCCAGGTGTGGGAGGGAGTGCCAGTGGTATGCTGGGCATGGGAGGAAGCGCTGGTGGCTGCCCTGGCATCCTACCAGTGCAGCCGGATGATGTGGAGCATGGGGGGATGCTGTAGGTGCACACTACAGACTATGAGATCCCTGGGATCTTGTACTCTGTAGCTAGGCTCCTTGGGAGAAAAAGCGGTGGGAGTGGGAGCAACTTACAGGAGCAACTTGCAACCTATTCTGCCGGCTTTCCCATTGACTGCTTATGGGAAGCTGGCAGGAAGGTCACAAATGGTGATCACGTGACCACGGGATGCTGCAATCGTAAGTGCGAGCTGGTTGCAAAGCACTTGGATCACGATCACGTGACCATTTGGGGTGCTGGGAGAGCTGGAACTTTGAGGACCATTTGTAAGTACCACTCATTCATCACTGTCATAACTTCCAACGGTCGGTGAACAGGTGGTCATTAACCAAGGACTACCTGTACCATAATAAAGTTTGAAACAAAGTACCAGTATTGTTCAACTTCATGCTCTGTTGGATTTGATGCTTTTCAAGAAATAAAATTAATATTTTGTCATACTGTCATATGAATGTTTTAATGTTGAAATATGTTCATTTATTATAGTACTCAGTATTAATACTTTTGTATATTTTAGCATATAATATACATATATTTGCACTTTAATGTATAGTTTTTAAATAAAAACAATCCTAACAAATGAGCCTTCACACATTAGGCTCAAGCACCTACTCACAACTGTTCTTACTCTTGTGGTATATTGCACCCTTTTCTGTGGAAGTATTATATAAACATTTATTTGAAAAGCATTTATATATGTAGAACCTTGGTTTATGTTGAGAATATTTTGTATGCTGGAAAAAGTCTCTTTTGTATAACTTATACTTCATAACTTTAATTTTTTAATTGTCACTTCCTGTTTCTTTACAGAATAAAAAAACTGGCTGATAGCTGGGTGGAATAAGAATTAGTTATTTCTTTTGACATACTTACTTTTGTTGTTAGTTAATGGACAGTAAGCTCTGTATTGACTTGCATATTTAGTCATACCTAAATGGTGTATACTCAAAACTGGAATTTTGCACAAAAGCAAGAAAATTTGCAGGTTCATGGTGTGGCCTTGAAAAATTGCAAATAAATATTAAGAGTTTCAAATAGCATTTTGAATAGCTATGAAAGCTAGAAAGTGCTGACTTCATGCATCAAATCCTTAGATTAGTTTTCTTGGCTCACAGCTGAAAAAGTCCCTTTTGTCCAAAGGTGCTTTTGATGTTTTTGGATTAATAAGGGCAGTCTAACAGACTGGAATACTAG